GCACCTCAATGCTTTTCTCCCTTCAATTCCTTTTGAGGCGCCTCAAGATTCGCACCTCAATGCTTTTCTCCCTTCAATTCCTTTTGAGGCGCCTCAAGATTCGCACCTCAATGCTTTTCTCCCTTCAATTCCTTTTGAGGCGCCTCAAGATTCGCACCTCAATGCTTTTCTCCCTTCAATTCCTTTTGAGGCGCCTCAAGATTCGCACCTCAATGCTTTTCTCCCTTCAATTCCTTTTGAGGCGCCTCAAGATTCGCACCTCAATGCTTTTCTCCCTTCAATTCCTTTTGAGGCGCCTCAAGATTCGCACCTCAATGCTTTTCTCCCTTCAATTCCTTTTGAGGCGCCTCAAGATTCGCACCTCAATGCTTTTCTCCCTTCAATTCCTTTTGAGGCGCCTCAAGATTCGCACCTCAATGCTTTTCTCCCTTCAATTCCTTTTGAGGCGCCTCAAGATTCGCACCTCAATGCTTTTCTCCCTTCAATTCCTTTTGAGGCGCCTCAAGATTCGCACCTCAATGCTTTTCTCCCTTCAATTCCTTTTGAGGCGCCTCAAGATTCGCACCTCAATGCTTTTCTCCCTTCAATTCCTTTTGAGGCGCCTCAAGATTCGCACCTCAATGCTTTTCTCCCTTCAATTCCTTTTGAGGCGCCTCAAGATTCGCACCTCAATGCTTTTCTCCCTTCAATTCCTTTTGAGGCACCTCAAGATTCGCACCTCAATGCTTTTCTCCCTTCAATTCCTTTTGAGGCGCCTCAAGATTCGCACCTCAATGCTTTTCTCCCTTCAATTCCTTTTGAGGCACCTCAAGATTCGCACCTCAATGCTTTTCTCCCTTCAATTCCTTTTGAGGCGCCTCAAGATTCGCACCTCAATGCTTTTCTCCCTTCAATTCCTTTTGAGGCGCCTCAAGATTCGCACCTCAATGCTTTTCTCCCTTCAATTCCTTTTGAGGCGCCTCAAGATTCGCACCTCAATGCTTTTCTCCCTTCAATTCCTTTTGAGGCGCCTCAAGATTCGCACCTCAATGCTTTTCTCCCTTCAATTCCTTTTGAGGCGCCTCAAGATTCGCACCTCAATGCTTTTCTCCCTTCAATTCCTTTTGAGGCGCCTCAAGATTTGCACCTCAATGCTTTTCTCCCTTCAATTCCTTTTGAGGCGCCTCAAGATTCGCACCTCAATGCTTTTCTCCCTTCAATTCCTTTTGAGGCGCCTCAAGATTCGCACCTCAATGCTTTTCTCCCTTCAATTCCTTTTGAGGCGCCTCAAGATTCGCACCTCAATGCTTTTCTCCCTTCAATTCCTTTTGAGGCGCCTCAAGATTCGCACCTCAATGCTTTTCTCCCTTCAATTCCTTTTGAGGCGCCTCAAGATTCGCACCTCAATGCTTTTCTCCCTTCAATTCCTTTTGAGGCGCCTCAAGATTCGCACCTCAATGCTTTTCTCCCTTCAATTCCTTTTGAGGCGCCTCAAGATTCGCACCTCAATGCTTTTCTCCCTTCAATTCCTTTTGAGGCGCCTCAAGATTCGCACCTCAATGCTTTTCTCCCTTCAATTCCTTTTGAGGCGCCTCAAGATTCGCACCTCAATGCTTTTCTCCCTTCAATTCCTTTTGAGGCGCCTCAAGATTCGCACCTCAATGCTTTTCTCCCTTCAATTCCATCCCCTCCCCTTCCAACCCGCTCCCCTTCCAACCCGCTCCCCCGGCCCCCCACCCCCTCCCCCTCCCCTCGCACCTACCCCCCTTTCCCCCTCCTATACGCCAGAGACCTGTCTCGCAATCGCCTCACCTGGTCCCTGCCAGATGCCTTTGACTCCCTCGCATCGCTGCAGCTGCTGTAAGCACCCACTACTGCACTGCTGTTTACGCCTCACACCTGCCTTCTTGCCTTGAACGCCAGCATTCCCTGTTCCAACCACTCCGCATCATACTCACCTCGTCCCTGCCAGATGCCTTTGACTCCCTCGCATAGCTGCAGCTGCTGTAAGTAGCAGCAGCTGCAGCTGTAGCAGTGCTGCAGCTGCTGTAAGTTGCAGCAGCTGCAGCTGTAGCAGTGCTGCAGCTGCTGTAATCTCGCACTGCTGCTCATGCCTCACACCTGCCTTCTTTTCTAGAATGTGATTACCTTGTTTGAAGTAGAGGCACACTGTTGTTCATGCCTTATTGTACCTCATTATATGCACACCCCCAACCCTCATTGTATGCACACCTTCCATTTCACCCCCTCACTGCCCCAACCGCCCTTCCCAGCAATCTCTCACCCAACAGCTTCTCAGGCACCCTCCCACCAACCTGCTACTTCCAGTCTGTATAGTATCCTCACACCTTCCTTCCGCCCCACCCTCCCTTCACCCCCCTCTGTTTCCCCCGTTCCCACAGCAATCTTTCATCCAACAGCTTCACAGGCACCCTCCCTCCCTCTTAGCGACCCACCTTCCAGCATCCTTCGCAAACCCCACATGTTTGTTTCCCCTTATCTTCCAACCTCCTCTTTCCCCCACCCACAGCAATCTCTCCTCCAACAGCTTCTCGGGCCCCCTCCCACCTTCCATTGGCAATCTCAACTTTCTTGAAAAGCTGTACGTTCGTCTTGATCTGTATTTCTCTCCCACTTTTTTTTTTTTTACAGATGCAGATACGAGCATCGTCTCTTCAGCTGCTATATGTATTCCTTATAACACATCCTTTGCACTTGCACGAGCCTTTTTTTTTTTTTTTTTTTTTTTTTTTCCTTCAGCTTCGAAACTCCTGGTAGCACCGTTCACCAACCTGCAACCCAATGCAATGGCAGGCTCGCTCCTGGGCGCTCTACCTCAGCTCTCCTCTTCACACTCCACATATTAATCACGGGCCGTACCTGCCCCCTGAAACGCACCTGACCTGTCCCCATTTCGCTCCCTCTGCTTTCTTTCTTTTTGGTTTGTTGACTGTACATCACCCAATTCCCTTTTTCTCTCCCCCAGGGATCTGCACTCCAATCCGTTCTCCGGCTCGCTCCCGGCGGCTCTAGCCCAGCTCTCCTCCCTCACTCTCCTCGACATATCAACCACTGGCCTCCTCTGCCCGCTGGAAGGCACCTGCCCCAGTCACACCGTCTCCATGTCATCCCTCTACTGCGAATTCTGCTCCTCCTTCTGCCGCTACTGCAACGATCCCAGTGAGTGGTTTGGGTGAGAAAGGGAGTGCTTTAAGGCTTATCAGATACACCTGCAGTACCTTCGAAGGCACCTGTCCCAGCCAGTCACGCCGTCCCTATGTCCTCCGTCTACTGTGATTTCTTTGCCTCCTTCTGCCGCTACTGCAACGATCCCAGTGAGTGGTTGGAACGATGGGGAACTTAGGGGTTTATCAGATGCACCTGTGCTGCAGCTTGGACAACTTTTGAGGCGCCCTTTTCCCCTCTCGTTTATCCTCTCCCCTCCCTTTTCTTATCGCTTCCAGGCATCGATCACAACCCCCCCTGCGCCAACACCAGCACCAGCACCAACCCCAGCCACACTCCCCTTCCTTCTTTCCCTCTCTTCCCCACTCATATCCCAATTACTTCCCATCTTTCTCCCTTTTCCCACTTGTCCTCTTGCTTCCAGGCATCGATCACACCCCCCTTGCGCCAACACCAGCACCAGCACCATCCGCAGCCACCCCACCAAACTCCCCCACAACTGGGGGGTCCCCGCCACCATCCCCAACATCATCCCCTGCACCACCAGCAGCACCACCACTTCCTAATCCCGCTCCCCAGTCACCGTCTCCCGCTGCCACCACCCCCCCTTCGACGTCTCCTCCCAGCCCACCTCCTCCCACTCGCTCGGCCTTTTCTGCCCATTTTCACTCTCCTCCTGCCCTATTGTTCCGCCTTTTCCTCCTCCTAGTGGCTCTCTTGCTGCCTGTGCCACTGTTGTGACCAAAGGTATGAACTTAAGGTGCCTTAAATTGGTGGTTGAAGCTCCCTCCTCTGACTCCCCTCCATTGTAACGAGGTGACTTTTGAGTCGACTCAAAACTCAAAAGGCAACTCCGAATTAAACTCGAGTCCCCTCCTCCACTCCCCTTCCTGCTCCGACTCCTCGTTGCAGCTTTCCTGCTGCTTGTTCCACTTGTAGAGAGTGAGTTTTTGAGACGTCTCAAAAACCCCCCCTCTCTATACGTGCTTGTTCCACTTGTAGAAAGTGAGTTCCACTGTTCACAGTTGAGACGTCTCAAAAACTCACTGTCTACACCCGTCTCCGCGTTGCAGCTTTCCTGCTGCTTGTTCCGCTCTTGTGACCACAGGTATGAATTTAAGGTGTCTTTAGCTCATGAGCCCGAATTCCTCCTCTCTCTCCCCCGCACGCCTCCCACACTCTTGTTCCTCCTCGTTGCAGCGTCCCTGCTGCCTGTTGTGATCAAGTAAGGATAGCCAAACTTCCAAAAAGCAAAGGCACAAGCACAATGTATTCCCCCCCTCTGACACTCCTCTCTCCGACTTGTTCCGCTGTTTCTTCCCCTTGTCCAGGAGTTACCGTATGAGACGTTGCCTCTCCCGCTGTTCCTAGCAACGCCACCAGCAGCATTGCTTGGAAAGTCGTTCCTTGGCGTTGGCGGCAAGCCGTCTAGGTTTTAGCAACTAACCAATGCGTATTGTACGGTATATGTTTCGTTCGACCCAGGATTAAAGAAGCAACACGTTCTTTTCCTAGCAATCCGGTAGAGGTTCTTTGTTTTCTCCATATTTGTTGTACGTATGTTGATCCATCAGATGATACGGTAATATTTTGTTCTAGATGAGGCTTGACAACAGTGTTGTACCAGGTGGTACTCGTATAATTAATGTTATTTCTTTCTGCCGTGTAGACAATACTGAGAGTTAGAGGAAGGCTTGCAGTGTACCAGTTATATTATACACTCAAAATACCGCAAGTGTACTATTGGTAAAAGTGACCAATTGACTCTTCCCACAACTTCTGCCTGCTGCTGTACTTGTTACAGCTGCTAATTCTTCTAATCTGCTGGTTACCACTTAACTGGTAACCGTACTCGACATCTCATCACTCGCAGTAGCATCCCCCACCTCCCCTCCACCACCCTCCTTAACCACCCCGGGCGGCGCAGTACCATCCACCACACCACCGGCCGGCGCAGAACCGGGCGGCAGGCTCCTGGCATTCAGCCACGCAATAATATCTCCAACCACCCTGGCGATAACATCGTCAGGCTCGCCGCATGTGAGGGCGTGCCAGCACCCCTCGTACATCTTGATCTCCTTGTCTGCACTGGAAGAGCGAATGAATAGCTCCTGGCTGGCTGCTGGGTCGGTTACCACGTCCTTTGCCCCGTGCAGGATGAGGAGAGGCACTGTGACCTGGGGAAACAGGTGTGGGTTAAAGTGAGGTGGGTTTAAGCGCGGTAAAGAGCTTGCACCCCATCAGCTCCTGGCTGGCTGCTGGGTCCGTCACCACGTCCTTCGCCCCATGCAGGATGAGGAGGGGCACGGTCACCTGGGAAAGAGGGATAAAGTGGGGTGCAGTGTGGTGAGATTAAGACATGTGCACCCCATCAGCTCCTGGCTGGCTGCTGGGTCCGTCACGTACGTCCTTTGCCCCGTGCAGGATTAGGAGGGGCACGGTGACCTGGGGGAGAGGGGTGGAGTGGGGTGGAGTGGGGTAGAGTGGGGTGGAATTGGGTGAAGTTAGGTGGAGTGGAGTGGAGTTGGGTGGGACGTGTACCATACATCACCTGCTGGGGGTCCATGACCATGCCCTTGGCTCCGTGCAGGATGAGCAGAGGCACTGTGACCTGGGGGAGAGGTGACGAGGGGGGGGACCTGGGGGAGAGGTGAGGAGGGGGGGGACCTGGGGGGGTTTTGAGGCGCCTAAAAAATGCAGAATGAGCAGAGGCACTGTGACCTGGGGGAGAGGTGAGGAGGGGGGTGACCTGGGGGAGAGGTGAGGAGGGGGGAGACTTGGGGGAGAGGTGAGGAGGGGGGAGACCTGGAGGGGTTGGGCAGGCTCCCTTCCCAACTCCTCCCTTCTTCTCCTATCCACCCACCCACCTCTTCCTATGTGTGCGCCAATGTCTTGGGTGGTCCGCAGCAGCTGCAGTGCCATGCAAAGGCATGCCCACACACCTGCATGCACACCTGCCCTCTCAGCCCCTTGTGGTCTCCCCCTCTTCCCACCCACCTCCTCCATGTGGCTGCCAATGTCTTGGGTGGTCCGCAGGAGCTGCAGGGCCGTGGCAAGGCGAGGCTTGTCCTGATATGCAAAGGGGTGATTCTCTGCCCTCTCTCGCTTCTCAGGCACCTGATTGAGCGTACACGCACACAGGAACACACACGGGAAAGCAAGCGCAATAGCACAAGGGCATGTGCTTTTGAGATGAGAGGCCTCGAAACACCACCAGGCATGCACCAGCAGGGTTCTCAAGAAGAAGCGAAGAAAATAGCACCAGGCACGAGCGCAAAATAGCATGGAAAAACGATATTCCAAAGGTGTGGCAGGCACGGTTCACTCCTGCCCATGCTGTGATAATTTAAGATGAGGCAATTTTTTTAAGTTGACTTGAAAGTAACCTCTGCATAATCGATGTGTGCGCATGGCGTGACGATATGAGATGTTGAGGTTTCCTGCTTCTTAAAAAGACACCTTCTCAATGTTGCAATCCAACACCATCGTGCTGGAGGGGTTCTCTGTTGCATTCACCTGAAAGAGGCTCTGTTGATTTCACCTGAAAACAGACTCTGTTGCATTCACTTGAAAAGTGGTTCTCTGTTCGACTTACCAAGAAACAGTTCTCTGATGCATGTACCTGAAAGCAATTCTCTATTGCATTCACCTTAACGCGGTTCTCTGTTGCATTCACCTGAAAGCAGACGTCAGGGTTGGCGCTGACAGGAACCAGCTTCCAGGTGGGGAAGATGTATGAAAGGCATTTGAGAACGAAGATCACTGGTGCTGGGGGGATTAGCTCTTGGGCCATCTGGGAGGGAGGAGGATAGAAAGGGGGGGAGAAAGGGGGCAGAAGAAAGGGGGGGAGAAAGAGAGAAAGGGAGGAAGATAGATGAGAGGCATTTGAGAACGAAGATCACTGGTGCTTGAGAGGATTAGCTCTTGCGCCATCTGGGAGGGAGGGAGGTGTGTGAGGTGTGTGGGGGGTGAAGAGGAGGGAAGTAGTGCAGAACGTGTAGTTTGAGGCCCCTCAAAATACATCTGGGAGCGAGAGATGTGTGTGGGGGGTGAAGAGGATGGAAGTAGTGCAGAAGAGGCAGACGAGAACGAAGATGACTGGTGCTGGGAGGGTCATCTCTTGAGATATCTGGGAGGGAGAGAAGTGTGGGGATGGAAGAGGAGGAGGAAGCGAGAAGAGGGGGGTAAGAGAGAAAGAAGGAAGACGTGTGAGAGGCATTTGAGAACAAAGAAGACTGATGCTGGGGGGATTAGCTCTTGCGCCATCTGGGAGGGAGTGAGTGAGGTGTGCGGGGGGTGACTCGCCTCGCCATAGAGCACACAGACAGCACAACACAGTCCTTGAACACCAACCTGCACCACTCATAACCACGCTACATCGCACTGTACCAGCCTTCCACACGGGTGCCACCAGCAGTGCTCCATTCCAAGGGGTGTAAGGAACACCACAGCACAGCACAACGGTTCTGCACCACATATAACCCCACTTCACCGCACTGCACTCACCAACTTGCACTGACCTTGCACATAGGCGCCACCAGCACTGCTCCGTTCCATGGGGTGGGGTGGGGTCCCTCCTTGCCACATAACTCGCCGTTGCCCCTCTCATGGACTCACCACACAGACAGCACAAAACAGTCCTTCAACACCAACCTGCACCACTCATAACCACGCTACACCGCTCTGCAATCACCAACTAGCACTGACCTTGCACATGGGTGCCACCAGCACTGCTCCGTTCCACGGGGTGGGGTCTCTTCTTGACACTTGAAGTGCCATGGCCCCTCCCATGGACTCCCCATAGAGGAAAAACGGCAGGTGGGCAAACCTAGGGCTTGCTGGGGCGGGAAGGTCGGGGATGTTGGGGAATGGGAAGTGAGGAAGGAAGAATTGTGATTTAAGTCTACACAAAACACATGAAGTGCCATGGCCCCTCCCATGGACTCGCCATAGAGGAAAAACGGCAGATGGGCGAATCTAGGGATTGCTGGTGGGGGAAAGGAGGGGGAGAAGTGAGGAGGGAGAAAGGGAGGTGTGTTTTGAGGGTAAGCATGGAATAAGCACGGATTAGGAGGAGGAGAACAACCCGTGACCCTTGCTGTCCCCATCTCCCTTCCCAATTCCCAGGTTCAGTCAGAGAAGACCCTTCGTTCCCTCCTCCCACCACCGCACTGAACTCCTTTGCATACCTCTGAGCCGATTATCGAACTCGATCACATCGTCTGCCAGGCGGGTGAAGCTGCGGATGTACCCGTGGCGACCGGCTGACAGAAGAAACAACCCTTTCCACCGTACAGAACTCCCCTTCTTACCTCTTAGCCGGTTGGCGAACTCAATCACATCGTCTGCAAGGCAGGTGAAGCTGCGAATGTACCCGTGACGACCGGCTGAGAGCCCGTGGCCCTCATAGTCCACTCCCACCAGCGCATAGCCTGCTGCTGCCAGCATCACTGCAACATCTGGGGAAAGGAGAAGAGAAGAGACAGTGGGGAGGTGAGGGGGACACACAGAGGGAGTGTGTATCTGTGGCGACAGGCTGACAGCCCGTGGCCCTCATAGTCCACTCCCACCAGCGCATAGCCTGCTGCTGCCAGCATCACTGCCACGTCTTAAGGGGGGAGAGGAGACAGTGGAAAAGAGGGAGAGTGAACCCGTGGCGACCGGCTGACAGCCCGTGGCCCTCGTGGTCCACACCCACCAACGCATAGCCCGCTGCTGCCAGCATCAATGGCGCGGACAAACAACCATAGCCCACATCCCACATACTTTTAAAGATGTACGAGCATGTCCCCCCGTACCCATGGCAGAACAGCACCACGCCGTCAGAAGCTTACCATGCCCCACCGTTCCCCACACACGCCCACACACATTCACCACACACCTTCGAAGATGTACGTGCATGTCTCCCCACCCCATACCCATGGCAGAACAGCACCACGCCCCTCAGAGGGCTACCATGCCCCACACCGTTTTGCACCCACGGACACACCCCCATACCCATCTGACCCATACCTTCGAAGATGTACGTGCACGTCTCCCCGTACCCATGGCAGAACAGCACCACGCCCCTCAGCCGGCCGTCACTGGGCAGCCACTCCTTCGTGAAGAGCTCCACTCCCCGTGAGTTTATATAGTACTCTTCAGACGAAGCCACGCCCTGTGCGGCCTGGGGGAGGGAAAGGCAGGGGCAAGAAAGGGGAGCATTGGGTTGGAGCGGCACCACGCCTCTCAGCCGCCCGTCACTGGGCAGCCATTCCTTGGTGAAGAGCTCGACTCCCCGTGAGTTGATGAAATACTCTTCAGATGAAGCCACGCCATGCGAGGCCTGGGAGAAGAGAGGGGGGGCAGCGCGGAGCGGAGAGGAATAGAGGAACGGCGGAAGAGCCAGAGGCATTTCCTTTCTTAACGAACAGCTTTCTGCCTACTGGTTGACAATCGTACTGACTGACGGACACTGACGAACGACGTGACGGACAGACTGACGGACGACGTGACGGACAGACTGACGGACGACGTGACGGATAGACTGACGGACGACATGACGGGACAAACTGACGGACCAGCTACAATAAAAAGTCGCTGGCTTCCTCGATGAAAACTCACGTAGAACGAAGGAGGCTTCTTGTGCGGCTGCCGTGCTTTCCGCCGACCAGTCTCCCATTCGAGACTCAGCGCCTTTCGCGGCCTGGCGAGCCGCTTAACTACGTACAAGACGGCGCCTCCTAAAATGACGGCGGGAAACACGGGACCCCACATGGTCTGTGGCTGCTACAGCCAGTTGTCTGAATCTAGAAGCTTTGTATCATGGAAGTTTGCACAAATTCTGAAGTGCAATCAGTAAACACGGTACCTTCGTTTGCCCATATAAACATGTGCACTACAATATACAGATTCCAGCTGAATTTGCACATTCACAAATTTGGCAGATATGTTTGCTACTTTGAAAGTGTATTGAACCAGATAAGCTATATCACATACTTCTTTTTGCAGTATGAGAATGTTTATTCATTTACAAAGTACCACGGCACAGGGATTTAGAATGATGCATGCACTTTCTCATACGCGTTACTAGGCCGTCGCCTGGGAAAAATCCCAGGTCCTGGTGAGAAAAGGCGCGAATTTCCGATGTGGCATCCACTAGCAAGAGAAATCCCGTCATAATCTCCGTCAGTGAATGTCATCGTAATCATTCCTGACGTCCCCACGCGTCGAAGGCGCGCCCTATCGACAGCGAACTATGCCAATTTTTAGCACTTTCGGCGAAACGCGTGCTACTGTCTCGTCGTCTTTCTGAAATATCAGACTCTCTTGAAGAGCCTCTTATGGCCACATTCCGCTGCTGTTCTCTCAGCTCTGTCGCGCCCTTCGCGGGACCTAGCACGGGTAGCTCCCGCCGTATCCAATTTAACTCAGCTAGGCTCCCTCTTTTCCCGCATTCGACGCCCTTCGGGAGCGGTAGCGCCGCGAGAAGCCGCCGTATACCGTCTCAGGCGGCTCGCCTTCCACCTTCGTTTCCCGCGCCCTTCGCGGGCTGCTCTAGTCGCGACAATTTTGCTAGCTCCCGCCGCATCTTCCCCGTTTCCCCTTCCGCCAGCTCCTCTCCCCCGCCTCCCCCTTCCCCAGCTCCTCCCCCTCCCGGCACTCCGCTCCCCCCATCTCCGCCCTCCTCCCCGCCGCCTTCCCCCTCCTTCCAAGACGGCATCACCTGGTTCTGCCTGTCTTTAATCGCCTTAATCGCGCTCATAGACCTCTCTCCGCTGGGCCCGATCCTCCGCGCCGCGCCTCCGCAATCCACGCCGTTCCTGCTCGCGCTCGTCCAGTGGCTGTTCTTCGTCCTCCCCGCGCTCTCCTGGTGCCGCGACCGCGGGTTCCCCCTCCGCGCAACCCTCTAGCTGCAGCTTCCGCGGGGGGGCGGAGGGGAAGGGGGAAGAGCTGGGGAGCGGGGAGGTAATGGGGACGGGGATGGGGAGAGGGGAGCGTTAGCAGGGGAAAACGATAGCTGGTGGAAGGCAATTGCAGCAGGGGCGGTAGGGGGTCCCGTTCTATGGGCTCTGCTGTTCTCTTTAATCTCCCTTAAACCAGGTGCTGGAGGGGAGGCGGCAGGGGGAATAGCAGAACTGGCAGCAGGATTAGGAGGAGGAGGGGGGGATAATGTTAGTGCCACAGCATTATTGCTGGGTCCTTTGCTGCTGCCAGATGGGACCGGAGGGGGCGTGGCTGCTACAGCTGCTTCTGCTACAGCTGTCGCAGCCCTGCCTCTGCTGGACCTGCTACAGCTGTTCCTGTGGGTGGCGGTGTCGCCGGCTGTAGCAGAGGAGTTGCTGTTTAGAGGGCTGCTGCTGACAGCCCTGCAAGAAAGGCTCGGCAGGTGAGAGGCTCGGCAGGATTTGGCAATGCTCCGATGCTGCAACCTCCCCATAGCCCACGTGAATATCAATCCAAATTCTCCCCTATCTGTACACGCTTAATATCGTCTCCTGTATCCTTCCCCTTTCCTGCCTCTCACTTCCTCAGGATCGATGCTGCCATGCTGTCTGCAGCCCTCTTCGCCCTCTTCCACCTCTCTCTCTCGCTGCTCTTTCCCAACATGGCCCTTGGGATTGCCGCCGGCCTGCTCGCCATGTACTCCAATAGCGTGCTGCCAGCTGTCGCCTTGCATACCACCTATAATGCATCTGCCCTTCTATATGCGCTCATGGCTACAGGTGCTGGTTCTGCTTAGCAAGAAAGGGCTCATATGTCTTCCGATCTGCTCTGTTTGTATTTTTGTTCCAAAATTCCGTCAAGAATAGTGTATGTATGCCCGTATTTGATTAACAGCGCAAAACCAATATCGCTTACTCCAGCAATCTTCATACGGTAATCTCTCTAGTCTGCTTTGCTCGCTCCTGGTACTTCGCCTGCCATGGGACTGAATGGGAAAAATTGATGCACATCTTATAAAGGCGGCGAAATACACGACTACAATTTCACGTGTAACACTCTCGAGCCCAAAACTGCGTCGTTTTACTGATTCGCGAAACTCCTCTGGCTGTTCCCGGGGCGTCACTTCCAAGGTTCATCTCCCGAGGTGTGAAATTCCCGAGATCAAACCAAGAGGAAATGACGAACCGCTGTCTTTTCTTGTTTTCGATTCCAATGGGCAGTGGTTTTGACCACGAATCGCTTCGCGATCGCGCCCAATTCCCACGGGCAGTTTGTTGGCCTTAATGCACATGGTATGTTATTTTCCGGGACAAAAATATATATACCCTCTCGGGAAAGACATGTAAACGTGGGAGGCATCAAACCTAAACACAATGTGGCAAGGTGTTTAGGGTTGATGCGTCCCCTATTTGCATGCTTTCCCTAGAGAGTTTATTTTTTTCTCCCCCGTGAAACTGTTTTCAGAAAAACAAACTGCCCGCGGGAGTTCGGCGCGATCGCGGAGCGGTGCGTGGTCAAAACCACTGCCCATTGGAATCGAAAACTAACAAACACGGCGGTTCGTCATTTCCTCTCAAACCAAGGTTCCAAGTCGTGAAGCGGCAGAACTCGCCAGTCGCCTTCAATCATTCAAATCTCTGGACCCATTCATCCATCTGCTCCATAGCAGCAGCAGAATTGCTCCATCTGCTGCTATTCTGCTCTGCTGCGTTCCTTCGTTGGAGCAACGCTCGACGGGCGAGTACGAGTGGTCGGGCTTTTCATTCGGAGTCATCCACTACAAGAAAGATTAGCGAATCCTAGTATCTGCGAAAAAATCATTGTCTTAAATCGCCGAACCGCTCTGGAGCTCTCAAGTTAGCCGCGAACTATTATTTTAGATCATATATCTCCTTCGGTTCCTTGTTCCTTCATCGTCCCCGTTAGTCGCGACGACTCGCACCTTAGACTACGCGCGATTCGTTCCTATCCATCCTTGCAAGTCTCTCGATAAGAACCACAGAAAGCCATTCATATTTGCTCATTCCTCATGGCCAAGCTCGTACCAGCTCAATTTCGGCCCATTGGACCACTTTACACGGAATGCCGCTGTCAGGATTCGAATCCCTGACCGGAGGGTTGGGATCAAGTGCAACGCTGAAAAAACTTCCGCGCCAGGGAACTCACAGAAGGCGACGGTAGCAAACTCCAAAATACAAGTGAAAGCCGATAGCGAGCAGGCACTGACCGTTGGATCGAGTGTCGAGACGCGTGGAGTGGGGGAAGAGGAGGGGGAACGGGGGGAGGGAGAAGTGGAGGAGATCTTTGGGATAGTTGGGGAAAAGCAGGGGAGGAGTAAGGCGGGTGGGGGTAAGAGGCGTGGGAGGAGTGCAGGGGTAACGAAGAAAATAAATGAAGGAAGCGGGAGTAAGAGCGCAGGGGAAAAAGGATGCGAGGAGGAGGAGGCAGTGGCACTGATTGCTCAAGTGTTGATGGAAAAGTTCGGACCTCAGATTGTGAGAGAGGAGGTGGAGGAAGCGACTGAGGGGGAAGAGGAGGTGGAGGGAGAGGAAGAAGTGGCGGCAGAGGAGGAGGAGGAGGAGGAGGATATAATGGAGACAGGAATGAAGGAAGAGGAAGCAGAAGCTGAAGCAAGTGAAAAGGGTTCACCAGGCACCCCATCTCGCCGGGAACGTGCTACCACTCTCTCCTCCCTCCTCTCCCTCTACCGCTTCTTCTCCTCCCACCTCGGCATCTCCTTCCCTTCTACTGTCGCTTCCCTCCTCTCCTCTTACCCGCAACTCCTCCTCTCCAATCCCACCAATGACTTCCTGCCACGTGTCCGTCTCCTCCAGTCATACGGTATTTCCGATGCTGACATCGTGCGCAGCACTTTGAGGAAGCCAACCTGGCTCCGAATTCCCCTGCCACAGATTCTGGGTATGCTTGAGTTTCTTTTGGCTCAAGGCGTCCGCCGAAGCAGATTGGGCTTTGTGCTCCTGCGTGGCCGGGGTGTACTTTGCTGGGAGGCACGTTCAACGATCCTGGATATTTTGGTGGAGAAAGCAGGGGTTCCAGTGGACAAACTGGGTCTGTTTTTAGAGAAATGTCCGTCCATCTTGACTCGGAGCAAAGAGGCGGTGAATACTCAGCTTGAGATGCTATCAGCCTACCTGAAGGCGGGATGCGGAGGGAAGGTAGAAGCAGGTAGCACCAGCACAGGCCACTTGAAGCAGCAACAAGATGAGCAGCATCAGGACAGGAACCACCTAACCAGGCTTATCCTGATGTTTCCCCCCATCCTTAATTCTTCGTCCCACCACATTGCAGAGAATATCAGCATTCTCCAGTCCTTCACTCCCCCAGGCACCCCCTCCATTGCGAGCTCTGTGCTCCGTCTTGCCCCCCCCCTCCTCGGTCTTAGCTCAGAAACTATTTTAGCTAAGCTCCAGTTCTTTGTGGGGCTGGTGGGGGAGGAAGCAGCAGGGAGAGTGGCGAGGAGCTACCCGAAGGTTCTGCTACTATCTAAGAAGAACGTGCAAGGCAAGGTGGCGGTATTGACTGATTTGATTGGCCAAGAGAATGCTGTGCGGGCCTTGACACGATTTCCTCAGGTATTGACTTCCAGCGAAGATAACATGAAGATCAGTTTCAGAGAGCTTGTGCGAGAAGTGGAGGAGGCATTGGAGAGTAGTAGAAAAGAGGAAAGTGGGATGGTACGATTGGGAGGAGGTCTTTGTTTGGAAGAGGAGAATGAGTCTGGGGCACAAAGCGACAAGAGATGCAGGGCTCGTCAGTTGGTGGTGGATTTGGTGGTGAAGTGCCCGCGGGCTATCCTATCGAGCTGGGAAGCGAACCTGAAGCATAAGGTGGGGTATTTAAAGCGGGACATGGGGCTATCCATAGTAGAGGTGCTTGCCTTTCCTAACTTTCTTACCTACAGCCTGGATCAGCGAATCAGACCGCGGTATGTGGCATTGTTACGAATGGGTTATGCGGTTGTGGCACGCGAGATGGTTAGTCGGCCGAGTGTTGGAGATAGGAAGGGTGTTGTGATGAGGGCTGGGGAAGAGAGGAGCACGCTGGGTTCTGTGTCTGACAAAGTGGAGGGAGTGACGGGGATTGAATGGGGAGCGGAAGAAAGAGAGAGCGGAATAATGAGTGACAGTCAAGAGCAGGGGCGCAAAGGGGAGGATTCTGGTAGTGGACTGCCACTTCAGAAATTCCTAGACACTCACGAACCAGGGGGCAGAGCTGCTACAAAGAAGATGGTGTGCTTGCGGCAGTTTCTCCACTGCTCAGACAAGCAGTTTGAGAAGAAGTTTGGGGTCACACTGTAGGGCTGCTGCTGATTGGCTTCTTCGGGTTCCAATGTGCTGCGAGCCCCAGAGTCCATGCCTGAGTGTGAGGGTGTGCGCCAGTGCCTGATGTCTGTGTGTGCCTCTCCACATTAGCCCCTCGCTTCAGAAATCACCATTGCATCAACCACTGTGGGGGGGATGGGGACGCGGAGAGGGGAGTGCTAGCAAGGGGAAACAATAGCTGATGGAAGGCGGTTGTGGCAGGGGCAGCGGGAGGACCTATTCTATGGGCTCTGCTTTTCTTCCTAGTTTTATTTTTTCTACTGGTGCTGGGGGGGAGAGAGGATGGGGATTACCAGATCTAGCAGCAGCAGCAGCAGCAGCAGCAGCAGCAGCAGCAGCAGCAGCAGCAGCAGCAGCAGCAGCAGCAGCAGCAGCAGCAGCAGCAGCAGCAGGAGCAGCACGAATAGGAGAGGGGATAGTGTGGTTGGAACCTCTGTTGCTGCTCGAATAGGAAGGTGCCGCAACCTTGTTGCTGCTAGATGGGACCAGAGGGGGTGTGGCTGCTACAACTGCCACTGCTACATCCGCCGCATCCCTCCCTCTGCTGGACCTGCTACAGCTACCACTGCTCCAGCCGAGGAATTTTCGGGCTGCCCAACGAAAAGAACGGACGGGTAGTTAAGTCGAGAAGAGACGCGGTGGGAGAGGAGGGAGGGTTTGAGGGGAGCGGAGGAGTAGGGGGAGGGGGGAGGGGAGAGGAGGTGTTGACTTCGAGAAGGAGGTGGAGGAGGGAGGGAGAGCAGGGGTCGGTTGTCAGAAACTCCTTGAGTGAGCCTCCTTTCATCGTCCTGGGTCAGCCTTCGGTCTAGCACCATCTGTAGCCAACCACTCTGTGGGCGAGGAAGGGGGTGAGGGGAAGAGGGGAGGGGAGGAGCGGAGGGGGAAGAGCAGGGAGAGCAGGGGTCGGTTGGTGTCAGAGACTCCCTGTGTGAGCCCCCTCACATCGTCCTGGTTCAGCCGCCGATCCAACACCATGTCTAACCAACCACTCTGGTGGGGAGGAGGGGAGGTGAAGGGAAGAGGGGATGGGAAGACGGGAGGCGGGAGAGGAGGGAGAGCAGTGGGCAGTTGTCAGACTTTTATGTGTGAGCCCCCTCCCATCGTCCTGGTTCAGCCGCTGATCCAACACCATCTCTATCAGGATTGGGAAGTAGAAGAGAGAGGAGGAGAGAAGGATAGGGGGGAAGGAGGGGGAGGATGGCATTGTGAGGAGAGGCTGTTATGCACATAGGGAGGAAATGAATCATCACGTTGAGAAGGCGGGCAAGAGAGGTCTCATCTTGAGACTGGCACATTCCATGGCTTGGCGAGTGTGAGCAGAGAAGCCCGGGCTCGAGGGGTGTGCAGGAAGGCCAGGGCGGGCATGGGGTAGAAGTGGGCGTGGGTTGGCAGGCAGAGGGGTGTGAGGGGAGGGGGGAGCCGTGGGGTGAAAGCAAGTGCAGGGAAGAAGAGCTCACCTTGAGACTGGCAGCGCAGGCCCGAGGGGTGTTGCAGGAAGGCCAGGGAGGGCATGGGGTAGAAGAGGGCGTGGGTTGGCAGGCAGAGGGGTGTGAGGGGAGGGGGGAGCCCTGGGGTGAAAGCAAGTGGAGGGAAGAAGAGCTCACCTTGAGACTGGCAGCGCCCATGGCTTGGCGAGTGTGATGTGAACATAGATAGAAGCACAGGCCCGAGAGGTCTTGCAGGAACGCCAGGGCGAGGAATGCCAGGGCGAGGAACGCCAGGGCGGGAATGGGGGAGAAGTGGCCCTGCAGGGGAATGCGGGCGAGTGTTTCCCTCCTCACCATCTGAAAACCGTTCAGGTCCGTGTGAAAGATGTTGCCAGGCCTGAAGAGAAAGGCATGGGGTGTATGAGACAGGCATGGGGCATGGGACATGGTGCATGGGGCATGGGGCATGAGAAGGAATGGGTGGGCATGGGGTCGAAGTTGCCTTGCAGGGGAATTCAGGCGAGTGTTTCCCTCCTCACCATCTGAAAACCGTTCAGGTCCGTGTGAAAGTTGCATGCAGACTTGAAAGAAGTTTGCAGACATGGGGTGGTGGTGGTGAGGGGTTGCGGATATTATGGGGGCAGGCATGCGGGCAGGCATGGGGACAGGCATGGGGGCAGGCATGGGGGCAGGCATGGGGGCAGGCATGGGGGCAGGCATGGGGGCAGGCATGGGTGCAGGCATGGGGGCAGGCATGGGTTCAGGCATGGGGGCAGGCATGGGTTCAGGCATGGGGGCAGGCATAAGGGCAGGCATGCTCGACCTGCTACAGCTGTTCCTGTGGGTGGCGGTGTCGCCGGCTTATATCTGACGAGCCTTCTCAAAGCAGGTGACTTCTGAGAATTCTCAAATATTATTTAAAAAGCCGTCCTTCAGCCGCTTATCTCGTCCAATCTCCTTGTGTATCCTTCCAATTGCCTCCATACACACCCACCTCCTCTCTCTTCTCACACACTCCCTCCAACCCCTTTCCATACCCTTCCCCCTTGTCTTTCCCCTCACAGCCCCCCCCCCTTGACTCCCTCCACTCTCATTTTCCCCTCCATATCCAATTGGAGCCCACTCAGAACCTCCGCCATTATTTCCTCTCTCCCCCTTCCAGTGGGGTATGGAGGCAGTCCGGACGAGAAGGGTGAAACAACGCTTGATGTCATGGTTATGGATGGGGTGAGATGGGGTGACGTCATGGTTATGGATGGGGTGAGATGGGATGACGTCATGGTTATGGATGGGGTGAGATGAGGTGACGTCATGGTTATGGATGGGGTAAGATGGGGTGACGTCATGGTTATGGATGGGGTGAGATGGGGTGACGTCATGGTTATGGATGGGGTGAGATGGGGTGACGTCATGGTTATGGATGGGATGACGTCATTGTCATGAATGGGGTGGGGTGGTATGACGTCATGGTCATAAGGGCTGAATATTCATGACGTCATCGTGATGTGGCAGGATGTCGTGTCATCGTCATACCGTGTATGCCCAACTTGGGGCCCCATGCCCTTTCCTTTCCACCCCCCAATCCCTGCGATTCCCCAACTTCCCCACTTCATACCTCTACCGTCCCCCCATTCCTGTTCTCTCCCACCTTTCCCCCCCCTATCCGTACTCTTTCCCCCCTCTTCCCCCGGCCCGCTCTCCCTCTCTTTCTCCCCCCTCCCCAAGGACTCCATGGACGTGGGGGCAGTGGCCGGCCTGCGCCGAGTCAAGGCGGCAGCGCGGGCGGCGTATCTTGTCCTTTTGCACACGTATCACTCTCTGTTGGTCGGCGATGCAGCAACCGATTTCGCCCTGGAAATGGGTCTGCCCGGCCCGGAAAACCTCTCCACCAATCACTCTCTCGCCATCTGGCGCCAATGGAAGGCCGCCAGCTGTCAGCCCAACTACTGGCGCAACGTGACGCCCGATGCCGCCCGCTCCTGCGGCCCCTACCGCCCTGCTCCAGAAGCATCTGCTTCCGAACCACGTGGTGGTGCCACGGCCGAGCCTCAGGGGGGCGAAGCGGGTGCTGCACCTGGTGCTGGACCTGCCACCGGACCTGGTGCCAGCCCTGGTGCCGGACCTGGATCCGGACGTGCTGCCGGACCTGCTGGTGTGTGCGTGGGGTGTGATCCCAGCCTTGTTGGCAGGCAGCAAGGCTCTTCGAGGAGGCGAAACCGGCTGGCATCACACGACACCATCTCCATGGTCGCCATAGCACAGGTGCGGTGCGGTGCGATGCGGTGGGGTGCGGTGGGGTTCAGTGGGGTGGTTGGATGAGAGCAAGGCTGTTGTGGTGGCAGGCAGGCAGCAAGGCTCGTTGAGGGGCGCAAGGCGGCTGGCATCACATGGCACCATCTCCATGGTTGCCATAGCACAGGTGCGGTGCGGTGGGGTGAGATGAGGTGACAGGTTCTGGGCTGTTCTTTTGTCTCATGACTGCTCTCATGTGCCTGATATGTGGACTCTTTTGAACTGCACTGCACATACACACGTGTACACTGCTCTCATGTGCTGTGCCTGATATGCCCCCTACCATGCCTCCATATCACCGTGCCTCCATGTGCAAGACGTCATTACCTCATGTGTACCTTGCCTATCATCATACCATGTGCGTGACATCATCACCCTATGCCGAAAACGTCATCACCCCATGCCCATGACGTCATCACCCCATGCCCATGCCATCAGAACGGCAGCATGGCAGCAGCGACATCCACCAATGGACTCACCTTCCACATCCCTGGGAGGTATGTTGCAATCCGTGTCATCATCCATTCTTATCCTGTGTCTTCATTCCCAACTCATCATACCCATGCCTTCATTCATTCCCAGGTCAAAATAGCCATATCATCATACCCATGTCATCATGCTTACCACATACCTATGTCATCATACTTACGACATCATGCCCATAAGGTCCTGCTCCTATAGCAAGACAAGGTCCTTATGTGGACTTGTGCATCAGGGTCAAACTTTTGCAAAAGTTCAAACTTTTAGAGAGTTGTCTCGAGGTTAAATGCGGAAAGATGAGCAATCGCGCCAAATACAACACGCCCTTACTTACTCACTCACTCGAGCAAAGGGGGGTGTGGGGCAGGGGTGTGCCGACAATGCAGTATTGTTGTGTGCCGACTCAAATCACCCACTCACACACTGTCTGTCAGGGGGATGATGCACTCCCACTCCCTCGCTCACTCTCTCACTCCCTCGCTCACTCACTCACTCACTCCCTCCGTTCCCTCTCATTGTTCCCAGGGTGGCCGATGCACCCATAGCAGGGGCAGGAGCATATGTGGACTCCAGAGTGGGGGGCTGTGGGGCAACAGGAGATGGTGACGTCATGATGAGGTTCCTGCCATGGTATGCTGACGTCATGGCCGTGTGTGCTTACTGATATCTCAGCAGTTGCTGACATCGCTTTAATCTTCATTTGGAAACCACTACACGGAATTTTCACATAAACACATGTTAGATAGAGCCTAGCCCCCCTCACTCCTCCGTATCCCTCCACTCTCCACCACTAATTCCTTTCTTGCTGCTTTCCAACTGTTGCTCTTCCCTTCACTCTTCCAGCTTCCTAGCAGTCGAGCTCATGCGAATGGGCTCTACCCCAGCCTCTCTCTTTCTCCCTATCGTCATTCCTCGCTACCCCCTCTCCCACATTCCTCTTCCCTTCAAATCCCAGCTTTCTAGCAGTTGAGCTCATCTGAATGGATTCGACCCCACCCTCCTCACTTCCGTCTTATCTTCGTTCCTCTCTTCCCCCTCTCCCACATTCCTGTTCCCTTCACTATTTCAGCTTCTAAGCAGTTGAGCTCATGCGAATGTGCTATACCCCAGCCTCCCCTCTTCCATCCCATCTTCCTTCCTCTCTTCCTCCTCTCACACATTCCTCTTCCCTTCACTATTTCAGCTTTCTAGCAGTCGAGCTCATGCGAATGGGCTCTACCCCAGCTTCGGCTGCCGAAGCTGCCATCAGTCGCATCCGAGCCAAATTCCCAACCTTTGTGGGAGGCTTGGTGGCGGTCAACAGGTTTGGGGAGCATGGAGCAGCGGTGAACAACTGGGTGCTACAGTACACTGTTGCTTCGCCTGGAACTGACGGTACACCACGAGTGTTTACGGTTCATCCGAAGTGTTGAGGAATAATATTGAAAGTAGTATAACATTTCAGTTGCTCGGATAGAAGTATGATCGGACACAATAGCTGTTCGATATCACCGTGAACAGGATGTTGACATGAACGAACCCTGATATATTAGGAAGCAACCCAAGCCCTGCCCTGGAAATCCTGTAAAAAGACTGCCCTGAACACATAGAACGGGTAGTGCAAATGCAGGAAATACACAACCTCACATATACACGAGTCTAGCTTTGATGAAATGAATCTTCGCCAACTGACCAGATCACAAGGTGACAGATCCGAGGTGACAATCCTGAAGTGACGATTTCGGAATTGTCACAATTTCAAGGTCCCACCCATTCGCTCGGGGGGGTTGAGCTCTCACTTCTCGCCTATCTCGTCGACTCGAGCTTGCTGTTCACAGAGACACTCGAGCAGCACATCTCGAATCCCTGACGTCTAGAATCCATGTGCTGCTTCGCCCTGCCTCATTCGACTTCACGAGCAAGAGGCAGAGAGCTCCTCCGGGCAAGTAGCAGTTGCTCGAACATTTTATGAGTAGTCCATCACGAAGGACATGAGCGCTTTTTAGATAGTAATTGCAGATTCTAAGGTCTTGAAGCGTCATCCTGCGTAGGAGCGCTCCGTGTAGCCGCGAGTTATTGACCTTGATCGTAGATTCGGTTCCTCTGCTTCTCGCGATGGCGAGTGTTGTTCCTTCAATCCCGTCATTCATGTCGAGCAGCAGCTTAGATTACACGCAGACCTGTGTTCGTCCCTCTCGATCTCTTTATGAGAACCACGTGAATCCAGTCAGATCTGCGTTTCCGTCATGGTCGAGCCCGTACCAGCTCGGATTCGTCACATTGAAGCACTCTGTACGAAAAGCCTTCTGTAGGATTCGAATTCCTGACCGGAGCGTTGCGGTCAGATGCAATGTAAAAAACGCTTCCCTGCCAGCAGACTCTAATGAGAGGGAGGTCGCAAACCTTAGAGTTGAACCGACAGCCGATGACAAGGCGAACGTTGGGGCGGAGTTTGAGGCGCGTGGTGTGGGGGAGGAGGAGATAGGAGCTGATAGAGAAGGCGAAGTGAGCGTAAGAGTTTCTGAGGACAAGCAGGGGGGAACCAAGGAAATTGGGGGTAAGAGGCGTGGGAGGAAAGCAGGCAAAGCGAAAGCAAGAAGCGAAGGGAGCGGGAGTAAGAGCGGAAACGGGGAAGCATTCGAGGAGGAGGAGGAGGCAGTGACAGTGATTGCTCAAGTGCTCATGAAGAAATACGGACCTCAGATTGTGAAAGAGGAGGAGGAGGAAGGGCTTGGAAACGGAGGGAATGAGGCGGTTGAGGAGGTGGAGGGAGAGGAAGAAGCGGCGGCTGAGGAGGAGAACGACGGAATGGACATTGAAGTGAAGGAGGGGGGAGCTGAAACAGAAGCGAGTGACGAGGGTCTACGCAGCACCACATCTCGCTCCAGACGAGCTACCACTCGCTCCTCCCTCCTCTCCCTCTACCGCTTCTTCTCCTCCCATCTCGGCATCTCCTCCCCTTCCACTGTCGCTTCCCTCCTCACCTTCAAGCCCCAACTCCTCCGCTCCAGTCCCACCAATGACTTCCTGCCACGTGTCCGTCTCCTCCAGTCGTTTGGCATATGCCATGCCGACATCGTCCGCGTCACTGTGAGAGAACCAGCCTGGCTCCGATCCTCCCTGCCGCGGATTCAAAACAACCTTGAGTTCCTTTTGGCTCAGGGCGTCCGCCGAAGCAGATTGGGCTCGGTGCTTCGACGTGTACGCAATTTTCTCTGGTGGGAGGCACGTTCAACGAACCTGGACATTCTGGTGGAGAAGGCAGGCGTTCCTGTGGACAAGCTAGGTGGGATTATAGAGAAATACCCGCCCATCTTAATTCGGAACAAAGAGGCGGTGAATACTCAGCTCGAGGCGTTGTCAGCCTATTTTATGACGGGACCTGGAAGGGAGGTAGAGGCAGTTAGCTCCAGCACGGACCATTTTAAGCAGCGACTAGGTGAGCCGCATCTGGACAGGAACCACCTAGCCAGGCTCATCGTGCAGTTTCCACCCATCCTAGGTTATTCGTCCCACCGCATTGCAGAGAATATCGCCATTCTCCAGTCCTTTACTCCCCCAGGCACCCCCTCCATTGCGAGCTCTGTGCTCCGTCTTGACCCCTCCGTTCTCGTCTTTAGCCCAGAAACTACTTTAGCTAAGCTCCAGTATTTTGTGGATCTGGTGGGTGAGGAGGCAGCAGGAAAATTGGCGAGGAGTCACCCGGGGGTTCTGAAATTCTCAAAGGAGAACCTGCAAGGCAAGGTGGCGATATTGGATGATCTAATCGGTCGAGAGAATGCTTTGCGGGCAGTGGCGCGGTTTCCTACACTTCTGAAATCTAGTGAAGATAACATGAAGAACAGTTTCAGAGAGCTTGTGCAAGAAGTTGAAGAGGCATTGGAGAGTAGTGGAAACGAGGGATGTGAGACGCTAAGGTTGTGGGGGGGTGACTGGTTGGTGAAGGAGGGTGAGAATGGAGCACAAGGCGATAAGAGACTCAGGGCTCGTCGGTTGGTGGTGGATTTGGTGGTGAAGTGTCCGCAGGCTATCTACTGCAGCTGGGAAGCCAACCTGAAGCACAAGGTGGAATATTTAAAGCGGGATATGGGGCTGTCCATTGCAGAGTTGCTTGCATTTCCGCACTTCGTTACCTTCAGCTTGGATCAGCGAATCAGACCGCGGCATGTGGCATTGTTGCAAACAGGCTATGCGGTTGTGGCACATGAGGCGGCTGTTAGATGGAGGAGTGTTGAAGACATGAGGGGTGTTTTGATTGGAGCTGGGGAAGAGAGGAGCAAGGTGGGTTCTGTTTTCTCACTTCCTGACGAAGCGGAGGGAGTGGAGGGGATGGAATGGGGAGCGGAAGAAACAAAGAGCGGAAGAGTGGGTGGCAGGCAAGAGCAGCAGTGCAAAGGAGATGATTCCGATAGTGGACCACTGATTGAGGAATTCCTAGGACATGACGAGCCAGTGGTGGGGGCTGTTACAAATCAGCAGCGTGTGAATGTGGATGCGGCAAGGAAAACGGTGTGCTTGCAGCAGTTTATTCACTGTACAGACAAACAGTTCGAGAAGAAGTTTGGGATGAAATTGTAGGGCTGGTGCTGATAGGCTACTTCGGCTGCCATTGTGTCGCAGGCATGAGATCCATGCCTTAGAGTGAGGGTGTTTGCCAATGCCTGATGTCTGTGTGTGCCTCTCCACATTAGCCGCTCTCTTCAAAAATCGCTATTGCATTAACCACTGTGGGGGGGGTGGGGATGGGGAGAAGGGAGCGTTATGGGGGGGAAGCAATAGCTGGTGGGAAGGTGATTGTGGCAGGCGAGGTGAGGGGTCATGTTCTATGGGCTCTGCTTTTCTCTCTAGTTTTGCTTCAACCAGGTACTGGAGGGGAGGGGGAGGGGTATTAGCAGAACTCGCAGCAGCAGCAGGAGCAGGAGCAGCAGGAAGAGTAGGAGGGGATAGCGTTAGTGCTACATCCCTGTTGCTATGTCCTTTGTTGCTGCCCGATGGGACTGGCGGGGTTGTGGCTGCTACAGCTGCTGTGGCCCTCGCCCTGCTGGACCTGCTGCAATTCCTGTGGGTGGTGGTGTCCCAGCTGTAGCAGAGGAGCTGCTGTTAAGAGCACTGCTGGTTACAGCCCAGCAAGAGAATTGCGGCAGGTGAGAGGTTCAGCAGGAGGCCCGGTAGCGAGGTTGATAGTTCCTCCATCCCCATGGCCCAAGCTCTCTCTCATCAATCCAATGTCATGCGTTCTTTCGTATCTTCACGCACTTGATCTCATCTCTCTTGTATCCTTCTCCTCATTCCTCCCTGCCCTATCCCCTTTCCTGCCTCTCTCCCCCCAGGATGGGCGCAGCCATGCTCTCTGCAGCCCTCTTCGCCCTCTTCCACCTCTCCCTCTCCCTCCTCTTCCCCAACATAACATGGCCCTTGGGATTGCCGCTGGCCTGCTCGCTGGTGCGAATGGGCTATGAGGTTGTGGCACGCAAAATGGTTAGTCAGACGAGTGTTGGAGACAGGAGGGGTGTTTCGACAAGCGTTGGGGAAGAGATGAGCCAGCTGGGTTGTGTGTCTGAGAAAGTGGAGGGAGTAGAGGGGATTGAATGCAGAGCGGAAGAAAAAAGAGAGAAGGAATGGGTGACAGGCAAGAGCAGTAGTGCAAAAGGATTGTGGCAATGGACCGTTACTTGGGGATTTTATAGGGAGTGACGAGCCAGGAGGGAGAGCCATCAAAGAGCAGACCAAGAAATCAGTGTGCTTGCAGCAGTTTCTTTGGGCTACAGACAAAGAGTTGGAGAAGTTTGGGGTCAAACTGTGAAATTTGAGTTGACATAACTTTGCCTGCCATCTGCAAGGTCCCTTGAGTCAAGGACCTCATCACTTTGCCTACGCCATCTTTGTGCGATCTAGAGATGGCGTCACATCGTATATGCTTTTATACGAAAGGAAATGAGGTACCACCTGGTGTCAGATTTGTTCCTTTTCTAGAGAGTAAGAGCGTGTTCCTATCCTCGTATCAAGACAACCTCATATCAGGCTCACACTGAAAATTCCCCTAAACCCAAAACCTCTCGCTAGTTTTACCAGGCAAAAGGTACATTCTTGATACGAGGTTTCCTGATATGAGGCCGTAGGAACACGCCCTAAATAACACCATAACACAGTACGGCTCGTGGTGGCTGTGGGGGAAAAGGTGCTTCAAAATTTATTACTGTACTCGGGATCGTATAGCGAGGATTATGGTCACACGAGCACCTCCTTTGCGAAAATGCGAATCATTCTGGTTGCACGTATCTCGCGATGCAGAGATGCGAAGCAGCCACGGTTACAGTTTTTTTTGGCGAAAATAGCATCAGCGTCCCGTTGCGTTCGGTCAAATCCCAAGACCCCGACACTTGACTGGCGAAAAGTCCCCACACAGAAGAGTTCACATAAGCAGGAATTGGCTTAGCACCCAGCTCAACCACTCTGTATACGTATAGGAGCGTTCTACAAAGCACCTGATATAGCCGCGCCCTTTAAGTCCCAAGGAACCCAGTTCCTGAAAGAGTGAACCAGAGCTGTTCTCACATAAAAGCTAGATGCCAGCTAGAATAGTAGTAGCTCGAGGCATCAATAATTCATTGAGATACGTATTCCCTGATAGTCGTCAGAATCCGATGATCGAATCCGCACCGTCAGATTTCGATGACCAAATCCGCATAGGCGAATTGCGAGTTCACGTTTCACGTCACTAGCTAGCTAAGTTTAGCGAGGATCCAGACGTATACGAAGAATTCAGCAGATTCGACGAGTTCGACGAATACAACGAAATCAACGAATTCATGAGCTTCTACGTCGCCTCACGTAGATCAGCCCGCCTTTTGCAATGGCTGGTCCGACCTCATACGTCACGGCAAATTGCCGGGCCGATTCCCAGGCTCCTTACTTCGGGGACTTCTAAAACGCACCAGATCGCATCGCGATCTTACCGTCATCGCCCGGATATAAGACATATATGTCTTCTCTCATACACTAAAAAAAATGCTTGGGTTATCTTGTATTTGGGGAGGTTTTGGGTGTCTTATAAGTCTTATAAATGGAAACTTTTTTAAACTACTTAGAAATATTTTCACACATCTTGAAAAGAGTTTCTCATTATGAGTGTGGATGTTGCGAAGGTGCCAGTTCGGCAACCATTGTTCGGGTTGCCACGTCATGGAGAATACTTGCAAAGGCAAATTTGGTAGTACGTGAGTCAGCACGTGGCAGAATTCGCGTGTCGCAATGGTAAAAATGTACGCGGTACTTCAATTTTCACTATAATATATTGCAGTTTCGATTATAAGACACATATGTCTTATCTCGTACACACAAATAGGTGTCTTATAATGAGGCTAGCCTGTTTATAAGAGACACCCGTATAATAGACAACCCCTGTCTACTATTCAACACTGTCTTATATCCGGGTGATGACGGTATGTTCCTTTCTTACCAAGCCTCGATCGGATCAGATCGTATCCAAACGAACGTGGACGAAACGCGTCTTTTCAACTCCGAAACCAAGGCCAAAACTTTGAGGCGCCTCAAAATACGGTTTCATTCCACGGCCGACGCTTCGTGGCGTGGTCAGCCGCTGCTGCGGCTTCTAAGCGAGTAGACTCAGAAGCTTCCGAGAAAGAGACTGTTATCTCTGGGTCGAGATTGATTTCCAGAAGCAAGCCTCTAGTAGCAGTGCAAGCGGAGCTTAAAACGCGTTCAGTGAAGAACGAGCAGAGGGGGGATGGGAGAGGAGGGCAGAGGAGAATCAGGAAAATGGAAGGGGGAGAAAAGGGAGGTGGGGATGAGAGGGTGGAGAGGGTAGTAGCGGGGAATGCAGCGGGGAAGCGTGAGGGAGGCAAGCGGAAGAGCTACGGGAGGAAGGGCTGCAAGGAGGAGGAGGAGGAGGAAGCAGTGGCAGTGATTGCTGGAGTGCTGAGGAAGAGATTCGGGCCTCAAATTGTTAGAGGGGAGTTGGAGGGGTGGGAGAGTGATATAAGTAGCAGTGGGGAAAGATTGGTCATGGGAACAGTGAAAGAGGCGGAAGAGGAAGAGGGGGAAATCGAGGAGGAGGAAGAGGAGGAGGAAGAGGAGGAGGAGGGGGGTGTAGAAGGATTTGGGGAGGAAGAAGAAGAAGCAGAAGCGAGTGAGGAGGACGCAGCTGGCGCCACATCTCCTCTCACACCCCTTCCTTCTCCACTCAAGTGCCGGCGGGTCGTTTCTCCCTCCTCCCTCCTCTCCCTCTACCGCTTCTTCTCCTCCCACCTCGGCATCTCCTCCCCTTCCACTGTCGCCTCCCTCCTCGCCTATAAGCCCCAACTCCTACGCTCCAATCCCGCCAATGACTTTCTGCCACGTGTCCGTCTCCTCCAGTCATACGGCATATCTCGTGCCGACATTGCCTTCATCACTGAGAAAGGACCAAACTGGCTCCGAGTCTCCCTTGCACAGATTCAAAACACCCTTGAGTTTCTCTTGGCCCATGGCGTCCACCGTAGCAAATTGGGCATGGTTCTCCGACTGGGGTGGAACTTACTCTGCTGTGAGCCACATTCAACGATCCTGGACATTTTGGTGGAGAAAGCAGGGGTTCCTGTGGACAAGCTGGGTGTGATTATAGAGAGATGTCCGTCCATCTTGAACCGGAGAAAAGAGGCTGTGAGTACTCAGCTTGACGAATTATCAGCCTATTTTAACGCGGGGTGTGGAACTAAGGTAGAAGCAGGTGGCACCAGCACAGGCCTCCAGCAGCAGCAACAAGATGAGCCGCATCTGGACACAAGCCAACTAAGCAGGCTTATCGTTAACTGTCCTTCCATTTTCACTCGTCATCAATATCATATTGCAGAGAGTATCGCCATTCTCCAGTCCTTCACTCCCCCAGGCACCCCCTCCATTGCGAGCGCTGTGCTCCGTCGTGCCCCCAACCTCATCGGCTTTAGCTCAGAAAATCTCTTAGCTAAGCTCCGGTTCTTTGTGGAGCTGGTGGGGGAGGAGGCAACAGGAAGAGTGGCGAGGAGTCACCCGCACGTTCTAGGTCTATCGAAGGAGAACGTGCAAGGCAAGGTGGCGGTATTGGCTGATTTGATTGGCCGAGAGAATGCTGTGAGGGCGGTGACACAATTTCCTACACTAATGAATCCTACTGAAGATGGCCTGAGGGAAAGTTTCAGAGAGCTTGTGCGAGAAGTGGAAGAGGCATTGGAGAGCAGTGGAGAAGTGGGAAGTGGGAGGCAAATGTTGGGGGAAGGTGATAGAGGTACTTGTTTGGCAGAGGAGAATGATTCCCGCACAGTAAGCGTCAAGAGATGCAGGGCTCGTCGGTTGGTGGTGGATCTGGTTGTGAGGTATCCGCCGTCTATCTACTGCAACTGGAAAGCGAACTTGAAGCCCAAGGTGGAGTACTTAAAACGGGACATGGGGCTCTCTATAATGGAGGTGCTTGCCTTTCCTGCCTTTCTTGGGTCCAGTTTGGATCGGCGAATCAGACCGCGGCATGTGGCACTGGTGCGAATGGGTTATGAGGTTGTGGCACACGAGATGGTTAGTCGGACGAGTGTTAGAAACAGGAGGGATGTTTCAATGGCAGCTGGGGTACAGAGGAGCAAGCTGGGTTATGTGTCTAACAAAGTGGAGGGGGTAGAGGGGATTGTATCGGGATCAGAAGAAGGGAATAGTGGGCCGTTATTTGGGGTTGTCGCGGGCAATGGTGAGCCAGGGAAGAGAATTGTTACAGAGCGGCAGCGTCTGGATTTGGAGGGGTCAAAGAAAAGGGTGTGCTTGCACCAGTTTCTTCACTGTACGGACCAGAAGTTTGAGGAGAAGTTTGGGGTCAAACCGTAGGGCTGCTGCTGATAGGCTTCTTAGGTATCCAGTGTGCCCCGCGCCTAGGAGTCTATGCCTGGGTCCGTGCCTCCACACTGTGAGTATAAATCTGGCAGGCGGCCAGGTGTGAGTGCCACAGCAATATTGCTGGGCCCATTGTTGCTGCCTGCTAGGACCAGAGGGGGTGTATCTGCTACAGAGCTGCCTCTGCTACAGCTGCCTCTGCTACTGCTGCCACTGCTACAGAAGCCGCAGCCCTCCCCCTGCTGGACCTGCTACAGCTGTTCCTGTGGGTGGCGGTGTCGCCGGCTGTAGCAGAGGAGTTGCTTTAGCAGAGGGCTGGCAAGAGCCTCTCACGGCCCTGCAAGAGAGGCTTGGCAGGTGAGAAGCTTGGCAGGAGGTGTGATGGCAGGAATATGATGGCAGTGTGGATATGTGCAGTATGGGTATTATGGCATGGGGTTCTTAAAGCTATTGTATACATTTGCAAGTACTGTTTAGGGTTGTACTGTAGCCTGGGTAAATTTCGCCAGAACGAAACAACGGGGGTTGGCGAGAGGATTGGCGAAAAATCGCACCCTTGAGGAGTTCCTCACACGGGAAATTCCCTCGTCACCCAACCTTGCACTCACACGCACACTCCGAAGCATACTAAGCGTCTAATAACGTTGGCTCAGGGTTGAGAGAGGAACCGGGGCGCGTTCGAATAATACCCGGAGCATCAAAACCGCCCATACAGTCGCATCTGAGACGGGGTTAGGTACATTATAGGCTGGTCCATGCGCTAAAATACTATCTAGCTTGCCCGCCAGCACCATTCCGCCGCAGTGGCGGAAAGCAATCCGAGTCGACGACGGAAAGGCTCCGCATTCATCTAGCGCGTCTTCAGTTTAGGCAGTGTGGTCTGGCCCGTCGAAGCCCTGTCAAGGGCGCCTCGACGGGGTGCATCACCACGCAGGGATTGATAATTTAGGCGTCGACGAGGGGATCGCATAATTCCCATGCGCCGTTCGCCCCGCCGCCCCTCTCAACACCCACTCGGTAGGCATTTCCCACTAAGCGCGTCACCCACTGCGCGGGTCTCCCGCTTACCGCCTTCAACGCGAAGAGCCTCTCCCGCTTAGCGCCTCACCCTCTGCGCGCCATGCCAGCGTCTCACTCGCTGCGCGCATTTCCCGCTTAGCGCCTGACCCGCTGCGCGCCTCTCCCGCTTAGCTCCGCACCCGCTGCGCGCCCCTCGCGCGCAACAAATCACCCGCTGCGGGCCTGTCGCGCGTACCGCCTCGCCCCCTGCGCGCCGGCGCCGTGTGCCGCCTCGCCCTCTCCCGCTTAGCACCGCACCCTCCGCGCGCCTTCCCGCGTAGCGCATCCTCTTCTAATTACCCCTCCCTCGCCCCCTTTATCCCCCCTGCTCCCCCTCACTACCCCGCCTACTCCCCCTCCTTTTGCCTCCCTTCTCCCCCTTATTTGCCGTTGTTCGTCCCTCTCTTTCCCTCCTCCCCCTCATTATCCATCCTACTCCCTCTCATTTCGCCTCCAGCTCACACCGATTACCCCCCTTCTCGCCTTGAGTCGTTCCCCTACTCCCTGTCATTACCCTCCCTCCTCCTCCTCATTTTGCTCCCCGTCCACCCTCTCATCGCCCCCCCTCCTCCCCCTCATTTTACCCCCCTTCTCCCCCTCATTTCAGCCCCTTTCTCCCCCCCATATCCACCCTTCAGTTCTGCAATATCCCTCCTTCTCCTCCACCTTTTGCCCCTCTTCCACTTCTCATTTCCCCCCATTCTCCCTCTCATTACCCCCCCTTGTCCCTCTCATTTCACCCCCTTCTTCCCCTCCTTTATGTACCCATTTTTCCATAACAAACCCGACCCAGATCGCTCACAAATCCCCCTTTTCTCCCTGTCATCCTCCCCCTTCCTTCTCCCTGTCATTACCCCACTACTCCCTCTCAAAGCCCCCTTGCTCCCTCTCAGTAACCCCACTGCTCCCCTTCATTCCCCCCCCTGCTCCTTATCACTTCCCCCACTTCTCCCCCTCATTACCACCCTTGCCGCCTCACACTTTTTCCATTGCTCACTCTCATTTCCCGCCTTGCACCCTCTTGTTTTCCCCCTTGTCCCCCCCTCGTCTCCCCCCTTTCTACCAGGCAGTTCTCTCCCTGCTCACACTGACATACGCCCCCTTCTCCGTCTCACTTCCCCCCACGCTCATCCACATTCCAGCCCTTCTCCCTAACATTTCCTCCCTTGCTCCTCCCAACTCCCCCCCTTCTCCCTCTCATTTCCCCCTTGCTCACGAGGATTTTCCCCCTTCTCCAGCTCAATTCCCCCCACCTCCCTCTCATTTCCCCCCTTCACCCTTGCGTTTCCCCCCATTCTCCCTCTCATTACCCCCCCCCCCCCCCCCCTCCCCCCCCTTTGTCCCTCTCAATTCACCCCCTTCTCCCCCTCCTTTATCTACCCTTATGTTCCTCTCAAATACCCCTTTTATCCCTCTCAGTTTCCCCCTTACTCCAGCTCATAACCCTCTTTCTCCATCTCATTTCCCCCACGTCGCTCCCTATCAGCCCCCCGAACCACCCCCCCCCCCTGTCACCACCATCTTCCCCCCCATGCTCCCACTCATTGCCCTACCTTCTCCCCCACATGTCCCCCCTTTCTCCCTCTCATTTCCCCCCCATTCCCCTCGTCCCCACATTGCCCCCCTAATTTCCAACCTTGCTCCCTCTCAGCCCGCCCCATTCTCGCCCTCATTTCCCCCTACTCCCTCTCTGTAACCCCACTGCTCCCCTTCATTTTCCCCCTTGCTCCTTTTCACTTCCCCCACTTCTCCCCCTTATTACCACCCTTGCCGCCTCACACTTCCACCCTTTCCCCCCTTGCTCCCCCTCATCCCGCCCACTTCTCACCATCATTTCCCCCCTCTTCTGATCCTCATTTTCGCCCTTCCCCCTTCCTATTCGGACCTTGCTCCCCGCCATTTCCCCCCATGCTCCTTCTCACTTTCAACCGTGCTCCCCCTCAGTTCCACCCTTGCCGTCTCACACTTTCCCCCTTGCTCACTCTCATGTCCCGCCTTGCACCCTCTTGTTTACCCCCTTGTCCCCCCCTCGTCTCCCCCCTTTCTACCAGGCAGTTCTCTCCCTGCTCACACTGACATACGCCCCCTTCTCCGTCTCACTTCCACCCACGCTCATCCACATTCCAGCCCTTCTCCCTAACATTTCCTCCCTTGCTCCTCCCAACTCCACCCCTTCTCCCTATGCTTCCCTCGTATTTGATTGAACACCCCTTGCTATCCCAAATATATTCCTTTTACAGCTCGCCAAAACATACCCACCGCGATCTAGCGCGCAAGCTTAGGGATCTTACACTGGTGAGACTCCGTCCAACTTCCCTTCCCTGCCTTGCCATCCTCCCAACCCTGCCCTTCATCGACTGCCATGCCCTTTCCCTACTGCCCTTCCCCTCCCCGTTATTGCCTTCCCTCTCTACACATGTCTCCCCGTACCTTAGTTCACCACTGCACTCTTGTCCACCCCATCTTCCCTCCCTTGCAGGGGCCCATTTTACAATAGAAAATATGTCAGCAGGGTGTAAGCCCTTATTTCCCATCATTACTATGGGTCTCTCTACTCCAATCCCTTCTTCCTCATACCTCCACATCAAGTTGTCTTCTCACCTCACATGCCATCACATCTACCGGTTATTCTTGGAGTCCTCCATGCCCTCCCATCTCATTTGCCCTCCCTTCCTGCCCCTTATTTGTAGGATGCCGCATTGACATGGTGCAAGGGACCGCGCATGATTACATACCCACCATGACGAGATCTCTATCCTCCTCCTATTCGTATCCCCCATTCATGCTCCGCCGCACCCATGCGCTACCCCTGCTTCCCCCCTCCATTCCATCCGCTGTCGGTACAGCAGGGATTCTCATCGGAGAGTGCAATTCATGGGGCATCCAAAAAAAATGTCTGTGGAGACATGGACAAAGAGGGTGAAGGAATTGGTGAAGGATAAGGAACAGGGAAATCTGTCGATATCAAAGCACATGCAGATTCCTATTTGTTACTTGCGATGTGGCTTTTCACATCGCAAGTAACACCTCTTTTCACCATCATATCCCCCTCCCCTCACCATCATTTTCCTTCCTCCCTTGCTCACACACATTACCCCCTCTTCTCCCCCACGTGTCCCCCCCTTCTCCCTCTCGTTTCCCCCCCTTCGACCCCTCATTACCTACCTGTCTCCCCCTACTACCCCCCTTTCTCCCCCCCATTTATCCCCCTTCTCCCTCTCCTCCCCCCCCCCCCCCGCCTTCCCCTACTCAAATCCCCCCCTTCGGTGCTCTCATATCCCCCTTTCTTCCCTTTCCCCTCTTCTCTCTATCATTCCCCTGCTTCTCCCCCTCACTTCCTCCCCCACTCCATCAACATTCCCCCGTTTCTCCCTCTCACCCCCCCCCCCCCCTTTCCCTCATTTTCCCCCCTTCTCCCTCTCATTCACCCCCCTGATCCCCTACATTTCGCCCCATGCTCCTTCTCACTTCCCCCAATTCTCCCACTCATTTTCTCTCCTTCTCGACGACATGTCCCCCCCTTATCCCTCTCATTTCCCCCCCTGCCCCTTTCATTACCCCCTTTCATGAGCGCTCTGCAGCGTGGCCTGCCAAAAACATTGCCAAGTATCACTGACAGAGTCAAAACCTCTAACATGCGAATAATTGGATGTGCGGCAAGGGATTATGAGCTGAATGGGTAATATTCACAATGTAAACGGGTTATCTAGCAGGCCATCCAGTCCGGATGCGCTTGGCCGTGCCACTGCCCGTGCCTCCTTGATGTGACATTTGCTCCACACTCCAGCCTGGGGGGGGAAGAAGGACCCTGTAAGGAGGAGAGGGGATGGGGGGGGGGGGGGAATGGACGTGGGGCAGAGTGGGGAAAGGGGGAAGATAGGTGCAAGGAAGAGAGGAAACAGGGGGAAGCACGGTGTAAGACAGAGAACGCATTGTGGGGGAAGAAGGGGGTAACGATGAGAGGGTGAAGGGGGTGGAAGGGAGTAGGGAGAGAGGGGAAAGGGGGGAGTAAGGGAGAGAGGGGAGAGGGGAAAGATTGGTGTAGGGAAGAGAGAGGAAAGGGGGAAGAAGCTTGGAAGGAATAGGGGAAAAGGGGGATGAAGGGCGTAAGGCAGAGTGGGTGGTAAGGCGGTAGAAGGGGGTAAGGCAGAGTGGAGTATAGAGCAAGAGGGGTGTAAGACAGAGAGGGGAAAGGGGGGAAGAAGGGCGTAACGCAGAGGGGGGAAAGGGGGTAGAAGGGTGTAAGGAAGAGAGGAAAAAGGGGGAAGCACGGTGTTTCTCTGGGCCGGCATTGTGGGGGAAGAAGGGGGTAACGAGGAGTGGGGAAAGGGGGTGGATGGAAGTAGGGAAGAGAGGGGAGATGGGGAAGAAGGGTGTAGGGAAGAGAGAGGCCGGAAGGGGGAAGCATGGCCTAAGGCAGAGAACGCAAGTTGGGGGTATAATGGTGTACGGAAGAGAGGGGTAAGGGGTAAGAAGAGTGTATGGAAGAGAAGGGAGAGGGGGGAGAAGGGGGTAAGACAGTGAACGCTAAAAGGGGGAAGAAGGGAGGAGACAGAGGGGAAGCAGGGGGTAGATGGAGTTTAGGGTTGCAATGTGGGAGATGGACAGGGGGTGCTGTTACTAAACAGCACGGAGGGGATTGCGCGTGGGTGGCAGGGGAGTGAGCGTGGGCGCCCTGGAGGAAGGAGCGTGTGTGTTGGAGGGTACGGCAGGGGTTAGAAGGGTATGCGATGGGGGAGCACGGGGGAATGAGGGGGAGAACGGCGGGAAAATGAAAAGGAGAAGGGAGGGCAATGAGCGGGATAAAGGGGGGGAGAGGAACCCAAAACTGGTGGATATGGAACCCCGCAGGGGGGTTGAATGAGGGAGACAAAAGGGGAACCCTGGTCCGGTCTCATGGGGGGCAATGGGAGGGAGAAGGGGAGGAAACGAGCAGGTGAATGGGGGGGAAACGAGAGGGGGACAGGGGGGGAATGAGGGGGCACATCTGGGGAGAGTGGAGAGAGAAAGGGGGTAGGTGAGCTTGGGAATGAGGGGGGAATGAGATGGAGAATGGGGAAAACCAGGAAGGAGAATGGGGAGACATAAGAGGGGGACGGGGGTAGACGAGAAGGGGAGGGGGGAAACGATAGGGAGGAGATGGGGAAACGAGAGGGAGAAGGGGGAGTGAATAAGACGGAGAAGGGGCGAAACTGAGAGGCCGCGAATGGGGCAGTGGGAGGGAGAAGGGGTGAAAATGAGCAGGTGAAAACGAGAGGGGGAAAGGGGGGGGGGGGAAGGAGGGGGCACATCCGGGGAAATGGGAGGGAGAAAGGGGGGAAATGAGCTTGAGAAGGGGGGGGGGGAATGAGAGGGAGAATGGCGATAAATGAGAAGGAGAAAGGGGGGACATGAGAGGCAGCACGAGGGGAGATGAGAGGGAAGAGGGGCGTAACTGAGAAGGAGAGGCGGGGGTAATGAAAGGGACAAGCGCAGGAAACTTCTGGGGGAAGGGGGGGAAAGGAGAGGGAGAAGGGAAGGGGGTCATTTTAGGGAGTCGGGGGAAAGAAAGATGGGGAGGCTAGCACACGGAATGGCGAGGCTTGAGATGGAGATAGGAGGGACGGCTGGGGAGTTAGGGTGGCGTTTAGCGGGAGATAGGGAGAGGGAAACGGGGAGAGGGAAGGCGGAACGGGGAGGTGGGAAGGGGTACTGGGCTGCGGGAAGGAGAAATTACAATGTGTGAAGGGGGTACTTGCTGCGGGAATGGGAATCGGGGTGGCGGATAGGGGAAATGCGGGGCGGGGAGGGAAACCGGGGAGCCGGGAAGGGGTAATCGGGACAGACGGGAAATGGAGATGGGTGGGTTGGGTGGGGATAGACGGGAGGCAATGAGGGAAATTAGGAGCCAAGAGGGGGAAACGGGGAGGTGGGAAGGAGAAACGGGGAGCGGGAAGGGGAAACGGGGAGCGGGAAGGGGAAACGGGGAGCGGGAAGGGGAAACGGGGAGCGGGAAGGGGAAACGGGGAGCGGGAAGGGGAAACAGGGAGCGGGAAGGGGATACGGGGAGCGGGAAGGGGAAACGGGGAGCGGGAAGGGGATACGGGGAGGCGGCTAGGGGAAACGAGGAGGCTGGAACCGGTATTGAGGCGGCGAGAAGGGGAAACCGGGAGGCGGGGAGGGGTAATGGGGAGCGTGAAGGGGAATGAAGAAGGTGGGAAGGGGTAACGGAGAGGTGGGGAGGGGTAATGGGGAGCGGGGAGGGGAACGCGAATGGGGGAAGAGGAAACGGGGAGGCAGAAAGGGGAATTGCGGGGCGGGAAGGGAAACCGGGGTGGCGATAAGAGGTAATGGGGACACGGGGTGGGGAAAAGGGGTGGCGGAGAGGGGATTTTGGGAGGCGGGAAGGGGATACGGGGTACGGGAAGGGGAAACGGGGAGGCGGGAAGGGGTAATCGGGAGACGGGGAGGGGAAAAGTGGTGGCGGAAGTGGAATTGGGGTCGCGGGAAGGGGATACGGGGTGCGGGGAGGGGAAACGGGGAGGCGGAAAGGGGAATTGCGGGGCGGGAAGGAAAACCGGGGAGGCGGGAAGGGGTAATCGGGAGACGGGGAGGGGAAAAGTGGTGGCGGAAAGGGGAATTGGGGTGGCAGGAAGGGGATACGGGGTGCGGGAAGGGGAAACTCCGAGGGGATACGGGGTGCGGGGAACGTGAATTGAGACGGCGGGAAGGGGAGACGTCGTGGCAGGAATGGGCAATGCGGAGTAGGAGGGGGAAGCGGTTGAGGCGGGATGGAGAATTGCGGAGGCGAGAAGGGATAACGAGGAGGCGGATATGGGGGGGACATGCAGACGTTTCAGCAGTCGTTCCGTACCTCAACCTCGCCTCCCGGCGGCTAGAACGGACACGTTGTCATTTTTTCTGTCGGATCAGTCTGCGTTTGTGCAACCACGCGTTCGGCAGTTTGGGCCGCGTCGCCCGCGTTCACGGTGGCGTGAAGAGGAAACGTGTTTCCCGGAACGCGTCGGACAACGAGGCGAGGCTGTAGGAGGGGGTCTGGCGGCGCCTTTATGTTAGAGGGCGGAAATGACTTCGTTGCGGACATGTAATGACGCCCACGCGTCTAGGCTTGTGTTGGTGGAACTTGGTAAAATGAGCTCGCTGTTTAGTCACGACCTGCTTAGCATCGGGTTATGCTACCTATAGGCGTAGTAGCGTAGATCCGAGAGTGGAGGGCATTTCGTATACTTTTGAAACTCCCTTTTGCAAATGTATACAAAAGCTTTAACATTCTTCCATGCCCACACTGGGTATGGCTTACTCTCTCTGTCGTTCCATCCCTCTCCCTTCTCCATTTTTATCCCAACTTTCTCTTTCCCTCTCTTATGTCCTCTTTCCCTCTTTGTGGGATGATCGCATTCACAGTGAGTCCCAGTGATCTGCTCGCCACTCCCCCATCGCACCACCGTTATAGGCCCTTCACGTGCTGCTCCTGGCATACCGGCAACACAGCAACAACCGCTGTTCCGTTATTCTTCCCCTTGTCATTCCTGGCTCGTTCTCCCCTGTTCTCTGGCAGGGAGGCGGCAGTGGGAATGGCAGAAATAGTGGCAGGAGTAGAAGGAGGGGCAGGAGGCGGAGGAGCAGGGGATAGTGTGAGAGTGCTCCAGCCTTGTTGCTGGGTCCATTGTTGCTGCCTGATGGGACCAGAGGGGGTGTAGATGCTAC